AACCATTGAGACTTGGAGATTGTAATGCAAAATAATTGCAGTATAAGTGCATTGAAACAGTGCCTAAAGCCCCGTGAATCTCATGATACATTGTGTTAAGAGCTAGGGTTAGGCCTCTGACAAGAAAAAAGCTGATAAACCATTGAGATTTGGAGATTGTTTGTAATGCAAAATAATTGCAGTGTAAGTGCATTGAAACAGTGCCTAAAGCCCCATGAATTTCATGATATATTGTGTTAAGAGCTAGGGTCTGGATGAACTTGGAATCTAGAGATTCCCCATCCCTGCCAAGTTTATGTCTGCGTGGGTACGAGTATGTGTGTGTGCACGTGTGTGCGTGCACATATCTTTCTGTTTAACATCCTAACTCAAGGGTCTCTGATATGATAATGGGTTTGAAGCTCCTTTCTAAAAGACTAAACTAGTGTGTACATGGTGACACTCATGTATTTCTGTGAATGATACAAAACAGAAAACACGAACCAGAGCTAGACCTTAGCTGGTCCCTTTGAAACAGAATGAAAAAGGAATGGGAGTAGGTCTCTAATAGGAAATAACTGATCTTTGGAAGTAGAAAAGAAGGGGTAAAGTGTATGTAATATTGAAGAATACCCATGTTTTCCTAGAGTTCCTTGCTGTGGGTTCTTTCTAGAACCCATAGTTTCTAAATTAAAATAATATTTTGCCCCTTCTCTTTTATTTCTAGCCATCCCATGCTTAAAAAAGAATATAATTCCCCCAGTTCCAAGATCTTAACAAGGTATTAGTATAAATCAAATTTATACTAAAAAGTAATTAAATAATTATTACCATCCCCCTTTTTATCCTGATTAAACTTAACCCTTCCAGGAAAGATTTTTACATTTCTTTAAAATACCACACAATGTTGAGTTCTCAAAGAGTATGGAAGAAAAGTTTGGGGTGAGTGGCTCTTACCTGTAACTAAACTGAATACTTGTTCTGCATATGTGGTAGATATGGCCATGGGGGAAGAAAGGAGAGAGAACACTTTATATGTTCAAGTCCATTTCCAACAGGAGGAGGAGGGCCAGCCACAAAGACATCTTTTCCTCCTCTTTCTGGGCTTTCATTTATACTTAGGAAAATTATCTCTATACAGCTACAGTTTACTCCCTGAAGTCTGAGGCCTATATGTCCTTGGTCAGAAATTTAGAAGTTTTGACTTTTTTTGACAATTCCGTGTGGTTATCTTATAAGGATCTCAAAATTAAAATGTTCAACCAGAGATCAGTTACCTTCACCAAACTTCCCCATCAGTATCTCTCACAACTACTTGCCCAGTTACTCACCCAAATGCTATGCTTCACTCCTGCCTTTTCATCAATCCTCAATGTCCAGCTCATAAGTAAATCATGTCTATTTCACCCCCAATACACCTTCACAAAAAATATCTACCTAGTTCTAAATCCATCTGCTACGATCTATCTCTGCTGCTACCAATCTAGCCAGACCATCATCTGCTCTGGACGACAATAGTTTTCTCTGCTTCCACTTCCACCCCTTCTGTCTATCTCCACAGGGAAGTCAGAGAGATCGCACCGATTATTAAAATCCTTCCAAAACCACCCCAAATAAACCTAATCTTTACCACGGCCCACAATCACCACTGTTTTCTCATTCACTCTCGTCCAGTGTTAGGAAGTGTTCATCAAAATATGCAACTTTAAAAAGTTGTTCCCAAGAGAATGCATTGTCACCCTCACTGGGCCACTGATGAAGGCACTACAGACATGCCAAGTAGTTTTTAGTTCCAAGAAGTGAATCACAGGGGTCTTCTTGCTTTGGGCTATTACATGCTTCATTTCTCATGACACTGTAGAGGCCAGTGTCAGAGAGGGCTCTCAGGTGTGTAGTTCCCAAGGTGCTGGCTAAAGTATGTTCTTTGACACTTTCTACTCTGAGTCATTCTTATTCTACAGGAGATTATTGGCACAGAGCCAGGACAAAACACTAAGTAGTTATCATAAATTAATGATTTATTGTTTCTTCCTCCAACGCCTGATAATCCTATTGTTTTCCTGAATTTAATTTGTTTTCCTACTTCCTAGATTTTGTCAGTAGGACAATGGTGGTTGTTTTAGTGGTAAGTCTTTCCGGCATCTGAGACTTCTTTTGTGAGGTGGAGAGTAGCAGATCTTAAAGCCCAAGGTTCAGACATCTGTTTTTAAGTGCAAATGTGAGACTCTTGCATCTTGCCTTTCTAGTCCCTCCCCACATCATCACAGAATCAGAATTTTTAAGAAATGTTCTACTCTTTTAAATGATTTCATCTCAATAGGTTAATCTTGTTTACCTCTGGCTATTCACCATCTGCCTTCCCTGAAGTCTAATGTATATAACTGAATATGCTCATCCTTCCATTCCTCAGCTATCACAAAGCCTAAAATGATATGGTCACCTTCTCTTAAGATATCACCTTACCAATCAATTCTTTTTTGTGGCTCAGAATGAAATGTTATCACATTTCCAGTGGTCATTGTCCCTATAATTTGAGAGATTAGAGGTTTTCTACACATTTATGTATATAATTAAACTCAGAGGGAAAAGTGCATTCTTTCCCTGAGATCACAGTGAAATAAATGCCTTAAAAAATCTTTCTTAATTTTTGAGAAAAAGTTTGAAGTCATCCCAATCCTTCTTTCCTTTTAAAAACAAAAACAAAACTTGTGTCTTCATTAATTTTTTAAATAATTTATTGCTTTTTTAAAATCTCTTCTTCCTCCACTCAAATCTCTATGATCTCCCAATCCTGCCTTAATCTCTGTATCCAAATATCTTTATATTGTGCCTCTTAGAAACTGAAATTTCCTAATATAAAGCATTTTGTGCTCTTTTTTCTGGTTGCCAACTTACAAAACAAATGAACTTTGATTTCTGTTTAGCTCATGAGGAAAATCAATGAGTAAACTGGCAATTTCCTTTACAAATTACTCAGAGAGCCCTTGAGACATTTAGACATATACAGGAGTTGGCAAAAGTAGGTTTACAGTTATTCTTGTGGCAAAAGACATGCAGGTTATGATTATAATAGCTTCAATAACGAAAGAGAATGTCACAATGCAACTGTAAACCTACTTTTGCCAACCACTGTATAAATAAACCTTGAGATGAATTAGTTTAATCTTATATGCAGATTTACAATTTTCACTAAGACCATATTTTTTAAAACACTAGTTGATATGCATAATTTTGAAAATATAATTCAGTGTTTAAAAAATAAACCTTATTTTGAAAGGCAACGATTAGATCTTAACAAAGCAGAGGGAGCATTGCTAAATATCAAGTTTTTCTTATATTAAATAACATTTTTAGTAATAAAATATTCTGTCATCAACTTTTATTCATTGAAACATTTTAATCTAATAAATTGAAACATAAAATGCAATTTATAGGAAGGGTTAAGGGACCATGACTGTATATTTACAATGTACTTAGCATTGTAATTAGATTGCATCAAATGCACAAGAAAAGTGAATACCATTTTTAAAAAATATATTTTTATTGATTTCAAAGAGGAAGGGAGAGGGAGAGAGAGAAACATCAATGATGAGAGAGAATCACTGTTAAGCTGCCTCCTGCATACCGCACACTGGGAATCAAGCCTGCAACCAGGGCATGTGCCCTGACTGGGAATCGAACTGTGACCTACTGGTTCATAGGTTGATGCTCAACCACTGAGTCACAAGAGGCGGGCAAGTGAATATTATTTTATTATATCTCTGTCATTGCAAAGGAAATAGAGAAGCCTGTTGCAAGTTAGATAGAATTACTTAATTTAGAGAGGAGAAATGTCTTTCTTAGAAGTCATTGAGGAGAAGAAAATAATTTTATATTGTTATGTTGCTAATTAGATGAAAAAAGAGACTATGTTTTATTTCAACATATCTTCTGAAAAAAATGGGGTCTTTTACAAACCTCATAAAGAAAACAGTTTATTTTAATTCTGGCAGCTCAGCATGGACTAAAATTGTGGTATTAGATAAGCTTTCTTTTTTTATTGACCTGTGGCTGCTTAAAAGGCAGAGGGGGAAAAACATACCCCAAAATAATATATTTAACTCAGAGTGCAGCAATATTGGCACTCCCATACAATACTTGTGAAAGTGTAATTGCTATACATTTTGCTGATGGGAAATTTAGCAATACATTTCAATGCTTACAACTATTTGAGCAGAAATTCCAGTTCTAAGAATTTACACTAAGAAAATGATACAAATAGATATAAAAGTATATGTAGCTGATCAATGATTCTCTCTCATCATTGATGTTTCTTTCTCTCCCTCTCCCTTCCTCTCTGAAATCAGTAAAAATATTTTTTAAAATAAATAAATAATAAAGTTACTGTATAGATTTACTTTATTTATACATTTGATAGGTTTCTAAATGTAAAAAAAAATCTATACATATAAAATTCTATAGTGTATCAGAGTATTATTGATGTTTAAATAATTGGGGGTCATAACTATGAATGTATGATATCATTGGTTTGCAAAATTTTTTTCTTTCTTTTTTTCATTTATCTTTATTGTTGAGAGTATTATAGATGTCCCCCATATTGCCCCCATCCACCTGGTTCCCACCCTCTCCAGGCCTTCTTCACACTATTGTCTGTGTTCATCGATTATGCATATGTGCAAATTATTTTTCTTTATCAATTTTTGTGTTTTACAAATGTTTCTGCCTTGGTCATTACTTAAAAATTAGCAATGAGCCCTAACCGGTTTGGCTCAGTGGATAGAGCATCTGTGCAGGAGGCAGCTGATCGATGTTTCTCTCTCATCAATGTTTCTAACTCTCTATCCCTCTCCCTTCCTCTCTGTAAAAAATCAATAAAATATATTTTAAAAAATCAGCAATGAATAATAAGTACTAATGAAAAAGATCTGACAAAAACTAACAATGACGTATATGTATATAACTATGCATCTATACATATTTGTGCTAATTAATATATTTGTATGTCCTTTGTGTGCACTTACCTTTGGTAAGGAAGCTCGGGATCCTGAACTCTGTGTGGTCATAGTCAGCACAGTAGTTATTCCCAAAGCTACCCTGGCTGGAGCAGCATCCATATTGATCCAGAATGAAACCCACGACAGAATAACTATCAGGAGACTGGGAATATACATCTGGATCAGATAGTATCCCATTTGTCGTTCAAGATGGAATCGCACTTCTATACATGTAAACTTTCCTGATTGATTGCAAAATAAAGGCAGTAATTGGTAAAAGTAGGTCTTTGTTTTGGCATCAAATCTCACAGTTTTTTCCCCCCATAATTTTGTCCTAAAATTTTCCATTACCACAAAAAGAGATCCTAAATCATATATGCAAATCCATTTTTGAAAAGTATTTTTTCTTATTTTTCTGCTAGCATCTAGAAGCAACAAGAGAATGTACTCTTTCAGGAAATAGCATAGTATTCTTATTACTTCACACTTGATTAACACTGCATACTTGTCAAACTACTCAAAGGTCTATTATTTCACTTGATTCTAACAAATACCTCTGAGATTGATGAGACAAATTACTCAGTGACTGTGTTGTTTTTTTTCTTGCTCATTGACTGTTTCTGGTGCTTTCAAGTATTTATTTAGAGCAGGGGTGGGCAAACTTTTTGACTAGAGGGCCACAATGGGTTCTTAAACTGGACCGGAGGGCCGGAACAAAAGCATGGATGGAGTGTTTGTGTAAACTAATATAAATTCAAAGTAAACATCATTAAATAAAAGGGT